CTTTAACAAACTTTATGCCCTTTGGAATTAATTAGATGCAGTGGCGGAGCCCTTTGAAGGACCGCTGGCGACTCTCCAACAAATCCAGAGAGCCAAGGACCAAGATCAGCTCATCCATTTTCTCATGGGTCTGAACAAAGCATTCCTCCCATTTCGCACCCAAATATTTGCAACCACGCCAATCCCATCGTTATGCCGCACTAACTAGTTGGTGATGCAAGATGAGAGTCAATGTCAAACCACCCAAGAGTCGTCGCAATCTACTAATCCTACCATGTTCATTGCTACCCAAGGAGACTCTGATGGTGTAAAGAAAAATGGAAGGGGAGAAGCTTATGGGACAGCAAGGGCAGATGGTGTTTTGCGAAATGGAAATGGTGGCAGAGGTTTTGTGCGGCTAGGGATTCAAGAAGACATAATTCATAAGGGGGCACTAATGTAACCAATGGCTCAGATATAATCTTATCATCCAATGGTCAAGATTCCACATCTCATATTAATGCATCTAATGGGTTTAATGGATCTTTTCAAAATAATTGTTCTGGATCATCAAAGAGGGGCAAATTATATTGTGATCATTGTAAGAGGAGGAATCACAATCGAGAAAATTGTTGGAAGCTCCATGGCCGATCATCTAGTCAGAAATTTGGTAATTCATCTGTCAATCAAATTTCCACTAATCCGAGAAACACTGTCACTGTATCCATGATCAGTTTAGAACAATACCAAGAGCTCATCCAGATGATGAATAACATTCCCCAAGCAAACACGGCATCCTATGCAGGTACTATTCTTTGTTCTAATTTAATTAAAGATGATATTTGGATTATTGATTCAGGGTCTAGTGACCATATTATTTGCAACCAGAAGTATTTTTCCCACATATCCATAGAATCCTCCACTTTCGTACGTTTGCCTAACGAAAATATCACACCAGCCACACACAGGAACTATTCAACTCACACAAAATTTAATTCTTAGAAATGTTTTATTTGTCCCAACTTTTAGGTTTAATCTCATTTATGTCTCCAAAATCTATCATGATAACAATTGCATCCTAAAATTCCTTCCTAACATGTGTGAATTTTAGGACCCTTTGACTGGAAAACCAATGGGCTTGGGTAAGGTTCAAAACGGTCTTTACTACTGGATGGGTGAATTGGTTGCAACTTTTCCAAAATTATCTTGTATTACAGAAAATAAACTTTCTGATTGTAATGCAAGTATTAATAAAAATTCTTTTACTCTGCATCAAAGATTGGGTCATAGCGCGTCAATTCCACATCCTAAGTGTACAATTTGTCCTCTTGCTAAACAGTCTTGCATAACCTTTCCGAATAGTACCACACACACTACATGCCCGTTTGCTCTCATTCATCTTGATATATGGGGACCCTATCATACACCCAACCATGACGGTTCTAGATTTTTTCTAATAATAGTTGATGAATTTTCGCGGGGAACCTGGGTATACCTCATGACCTCCAAAACACAAACACTCACACACATTTAAAATTTCCTATCCATGGTCGCAACCCAGTTCAACCTATCTGTCCAACACATTAGAACTGATAATGCACGAGATTTCTTCAATTCCCATTGCTCGTCACTGTTTCTATCCTTAGGTATCCTTCATGAAAGTTCCTGTGTCTACACCTCTCAAAAGAACGATGTCGTTGAGTGAAAACATAGGCATTTGTTAGAAGTCGCTCGTGCCCATAAACACCAAGCCAACATACCTATCTAATTCTGGGGAGAATGTGTGGTCACGGCTACATACCTGATCAATCGGATGCCATCCTGAATTCTAAAAGGTAAAACCCCATATGAACTACTCTTTGGAAAAACATCAAACATTGGTCATCTTCAGGTCTTTGGGTGTTTGTGCTATTCAACTGTCCTTGATTCCCATGACAAGTTTGGACCTCGAGCTATTTGGTGCATTTTTATGGGGTATCCGATGCATAAGAAAGGATACCATTTATATGATCTAGCTGAACAAAGGTTTCTAGTTTCTAGAGATGTCACATTTCATGAGGACAATTTCACATTTTCTAAGACGGCCATTGCTCCGGATAATAGTTCTGCACCTCCAATGCCTTTTCTGGAGGATGATCCCTCTCTAGTACCAACAGGTCCTCTCTTCACCATGGAGCCTGTCACTGACAATCAGTTGCCTTTAGATCCTTCAGACAATACATCAGATTCTCTCTCGGATGCTCTAATCACTCTTGAGTCTTCTCCAATCGACAACTCCTCTCTTACATCTCCTGAACCTACCCAACAGCGGTCTACACGCTCCACTCAACCTCCCATTTGGACTGCTGATTATGTCTATTCTACCATACAGGCCATTTCAAGTACTCCTTATCCAACTTATAATTATGTCAGTTATGACCGTCTTTCTCATGCCCACAGGGTTTGTGTTAGTCAGATCTCCGACAACCATGAGCCCTCTAGTTACACTGACGCTATCCAATATGAACATCAACGGCAGGCCATGGCTGATGAACTTACAACATTTGCCCAAAACCATACATGGGATCTTGTCCCTCGTCCTCCACACAGAAAGCCTATTGGCTGTAAATGGGTTTACAAGATCAAGCATCGAGTAGATGGTTCCATTGAATGATACAAAGCTCGCCTTGTGGCCAAGGGCTTCACTCAACGAGAAGGCTTTGACTGTCAAGACACTTTTTCTCCCATTGCCAAACATGTCATCGTTTGAGCCTTCCTTTCCATTGTTGCCATTCGAGATTGGTCTCTCCACCAAATGGATGTCCATAATGCCTTTCTTCATGGTGATTTACAGGAAGAGATTTATATGGATCTACCTCCTGGAATTCGCCAATAAGGGGAGAATACTATATGTCGTCTGCAAAAGTCCCTCTATGGTTTGAAACAAGCATCTCGAAAATAGAACACAAAATTCACAGAAGCTCTTGTTGGCATAGGGTTTATTCAATCCAAACAGGACTATGCACTATTCTCTTGGAAAAAAGGTAACTCATTTATCGCCCTTATTATCTATGTGGATGACATCCTAATCACAAGAAATGATGATGTGGCAATCAAGGCTCTAAAAGAGCGTTTACATAGACATTTTCACATAAAAGATTTGAGGGAGCAAAAGTATTTCTTTAGAATCGAGATTGCAAGTTCTGCAGCAAGGATATCCCTTAGTCAACGAAAATACATACTTGAGCTTGTATCGGACTCTGGATTATCTACATGCAAACCAAGTGCCATAACCCATTGAACAAAATACCAAGCTCACCACACATCAATATGACAATGCAACTTTAGTCTCAGACAATGATCCACCACTAAAAGATCCATCAATTTATCAAGACTAGTGGGACGATTAATCTATCTTACCATGACGGGTCCAGACATCAGCTATGTTGTCCACATCCTTAGTCAATTCATGCATGGACCGAAGCAATCCCATATGGATGTTGTAACAAAGGTACTCAAATATTTAAAAGGGTGCCCTGGCTTGGGACTTCTTTTATCTCATAATGGAAATCTGAATATGGTGGCATATTGTGACTACAATTGGGCTACATGTCCAATAACGAGAAAATCTCTTTCTAGTTTCTGTATAAAGCTTGGTGGATCTCTGATCTCTTGGAAAATGAAAAAACAATCAATAGTATCCCTTTCCTCCACAGAAGCAGAATATAGAGCTATGGCAAAAGTCACGTGTGAAATCATTTGGATTCTTGGGTTATTAATGGATTTAGGAGTTGAAGTAAGAAAACTGGTCGTCCTGTACTATGACAATAAGGCCGCAAATGACATAGCAGCAAATCATGTTTTCCATTAAAAGACAAAACACATTGAAATTGACTGCCACTTCGTCAGGGATAAAATTCAAGACGGGGTAATCAAGACCATGCATATTCGCACCTCAGAACAACTAGCGGATATCTTTATGAAACCATTATGTAGTCGACATCATTCATATTTGCTTGGCAAGCTCGGTGTTTTCGACATTTACAAACCACTAGCTTGAGGGGGAGTGATGTAATTTGGAAAGCAAATATTACGCATTTACAAAATGGCAAGCTGGGATTAAGGCTTGATAGCCTGAATTATTCTTCATTAATAGGCTGATTACTATAATCTCACCATTAAGGTGAAATGTTGTTTTACCTTATTTATACTCTAAACCATTGTATAAATTGAACTCTGTATAATCATACAATACTCAATACAAAGAATTCAATTGAATTACTCTCTTTCTCTTCTTTTAGGCATACTCCTAGCAACATATTACTTCTCTTGCCTCTCTCTCTAATCAGCTTCTGACAGTAATAAGCTACCAGCATGGATACCTTCTTGTTGAAGCCAAAATATTTCTAGCTCTCAAGCATGTTTAGAGCTTCTTAGCATGAATTTTTTTGTATTTCCGTACTATCATCCTAAAGACTATCTCCTTCCTCTTTTTGTCTAATTCTAGTAATGATTTCTTTTTCAGTTAAACCATACACGATTTGTTGCTCATTTGGATTATTGAGAAAGACAATAATATCCATTTGATTAGTATAGTGAAGTTGTCGGATTTGATCAGACAATTTTACAGTGACTTTTTAATATCTATTTCTGTACTTTCCTAAAACAATTAATTGAAATCCTAATACTACTAAAACATGAATTATAAAATAAGAAATCAAAACAATAATTCTTGTAACTATACCTCTATTAAATTATAATCTCTTTATAGTAATAAATTTAATTGGTCCCAATATTATGATTGTACAAAGGTTATATTATATTATATTATATATAAGGAATCAAAACAATAATTCTTGTAACTATACCTTTATTAAATTATAATCTCCTTATAGTAATAAATTTAATTGGTCCCAATATTATGATTGTATAGAGGTTATATATATATATACAAGAAATTAAGTGGAGAAATTAAGTTAAACCAAGAAGACGTTCAATAAATTGAAACATTAATCAATAATAAGAAGAAGAATAATACTAATACATCTTAGTATTGTAAAATACAAATAAAGTTCATCAACCAATCCACTTATACAGGATTGTTGAAGATCTACCCAATTAACAACCAAATATTATTAAAAATTTCAACAATACACAAACACAAAATACAACCCAAAAAGAAAAGAAGTGTAAGGAAATTTTTAAAGCTAGTACTTAAGTAGGGTTAAACCACAATAATTAGGTTAATTAATTGATTTTAATTAAGCACTTGAAGTTGGAGCTGCAACAGGATGATGATTAATGTTATTATTATTGTTGTTGTTCTTGGTGAGGTTGTGCTTGTTGTTGTGCATCCAAACTTTGAGGACTCTTCTCTTCACTCCAATCTCTTGGCAGAACTGTTGCACCACACTTTCTTCTTGTTTCTGAATTTTCCATCCAACTTTCTCGGCAAAGTTGAGCATTTTCTCCTTCTGATCCTGCGAAAACTTCGTCCTGTGCCTCTTCTTCACCATCTGCGTCAGTCTGGCCATCACCCCGCCGCTCCCCTCCCCCTGCTCGTCCGACTCCTATGGAAGCGACCCCATGTTGTAGGACATTAGCATCTGTTGAGGCCTTGAAGAAATAAGCGTTCCTGTAGGGTAACCTAAAGCCTCCGGAAGCAAAAGATTCTTTTGATGATGGTGGCCTAGAATTAATTTTCTTCCAACTCTATTGAGATTTTGATGATGGGAATGGTGAGGGTTGTGGAAACAATCACATGGGGAAGGGTGGTTTGGATGCTCACCTTCGATTTCTTTTCGGTGGAAGTTTCTATGGCAGTTGCAGGCGGAGCAGTTGAGGGCTTCGATAGTGCCTTCTTCGCCACTAGGCATGAACTCGCCGCAGCCGTCAGTGGCGGTGCCTCCCTTGGCGGCTGCGTGGTTCTTGAGGCATTCTCGATAGCGGATCATCTTCTTGAAGGTGGTTGGGAGATGGTGGTCCTCTGGACGTGAGGAAGCGGGGCCATTATTGTTACTTGAAGGGATTTGAGGTGGTGGAGGAGGTAGTGGTGTTGAAGATGGGATGATGTGATTATGATTATGAGGATGATGGTGGTCATTATGGATCATGTGGGGATGGCCATGAGCATAGGTAGAGTTTAAGGGAATTGGAATCTCTCCTTCTTCATGGCTTGAAAGTTCCATTTCAAGGTATCTCTCTTGGTTTCTTGTTTGCTGGTTAATTTGCAGACCAAAAGAGAGAGAGAGAGAGCGAACAAAGACAAGAAAGCGAGTTTGGGATTGGGAGATAGTTTTTATTTAAATGATGATTAAATCAAAAGCCTGACAATTGTCTACACAACTTTAAATTTCTAGAACATTAACACTAATTATAATAAAATAAACCAAAAGAACAATTAAAAAAAAAAGGAAGAAGAACCGAAGAAGATGACCCATCTCAAGAAATTGCATATAAAAGAGAGATAGAAAGGAACAGTTCTTGAGCAGTTACGGATTCAAGAGGCAAACCCTTTTGATGATCAAAAGAACCAAGAAAAAACAAAAGATAGAGGCTGTGATCATGAACAATGAACCTAGACTTTGAATACTCTCCATAGCTCTTGCATTTTCAGCTTCAAGGTCAACCTAAAAGGACAAAAAAGAAAGAAAAAGAAGAAGAAGAAGGAAATTTAGCAAGAGTGAACAGAAACTAAACCTTGGAAGAGAACCACATTCTTGAAGGTGAAAGAGAAGAGGGGTCAAACGCTAGCTCGCTAGCTAGCTCAAAATGATATGAAACCCTAAAGTAGAAAAAGGGAGATCAAGATATTACACTGATCATGATAAGCTTGATTGTCTTTGTCAATCTTGAAGAAGTAAGCACACTTTAATACCTTGAATAATAAAGGAAAATTAAATTGTAAAAGAAGAAAAACTATGAGAAGAGCTCACACAAGTGGAGAGAAGAGAATGAGACAAAGGCAAGAGAGAGAGAGAGTTTTGCAGGTAGGTTTTGCTAGTGAAGTAAGCACTAAACAAGAGCTTATAGAAGTGTTGAGGGCTCAAAAAGGAGAGAGAGAAACAAAAGCAAATTTTTATTTTATTTTTAATAGACAAATATGAACAGGGTTGAGAATTAATTTATTTAGAGAATGAAATTAAAAAAAAAAAAAAAAAAAAAAAGTTGGGGTGTGATTGCTTTGCTTGCACTATCAGGAATCAAGTTTACTCCATGTAGAGAGCAGTGTGTCAGAGAGTGGAGACACAGCCACGAAAAGAATTATTGAAAAAGAAAATTAATGTTGTTTAAATGGAAATGAGCTAAATCTCTTAATTTCTGCCATTAAAGTTCAAACCTTTCATGTATATTTGATATTGGATAAGGGTACACCCATGACGGGTTACCCCAAGCGACGTGTGTGAGATGAAACTGCCAAATGCAGTTTCTCTCTAACCGCTACTTATAAAAGAAAAATTCTTTCTTTGAGTTACTAATACTGTCACTCTCAAAAACGCAAAAAGAATATACGCTCTCTCTCTCTAGAATTTGGAAAACAGAAATACGATTTGTGATTTTTCTTCCAGATTACTTTGTTGCTTCAGAGATAAGGAAAGGAGGTATTTATGCTGTGTTAATTCATTGTAGTTCATTTATGTACAAATGTGATTGCAATGGTGACTATAATCTTGGGATATTGTTAGGATATATGTTATTCTATTTTATTTCCAACATTGGTATCAGAGCCGTGGTTCATATTGTTTGAAATTCATACTGTAATGTTGAAGCATGTTATTGGTTTCTCAAATGCAGTTCTGATTTTTTCAAATTTTGTACGTAAAAAGTTGTCTTTTTGGTAATGATTATTAGACCATTAAATTCCTTATTAAATTATGAAGAAAATGGTTTTTGAATCATAAAAAATGGAGTTAAAATGACTTAGATATGCCTCTTTGAAGTTTTGGGTTTCGAATGGGTTGATTTCCGGGTCGGGTACCCAGTTACAGACCCGGACAGAGGTTGAAGACGACACAAACCGACACGTCATTTTTTATCCACCCTTATGAATGACATGTCGTTTTTTATCCTGTTAGTTTTTTTTTGAAAAAAATTCAAATAGGCGTGGGTGGTGAGACTTGAACCCAAGTCTCCATGGTTGAAGCCCAATACCCTAACCACTGGGCTAATCTTGTTTTAGTGTTAACCATATTCACAAACCCATTATATTCCTATCCGGCCCAAGCCATAATCCAAATAAATAAATGGGTTAAGTTGACCCGTGGACCCTACCCATATGATAGAACGGGTTAGTCAAACCCGACCCGTAAAGTCAAACGGGTCAGCCAAACCCGGTCAACACCCGACCCGTAAAGTCAAACGGATCAGTCAACCCCGGTCAACACCCGACCCGCAAAGTCAACGGGTCAACTCGGGTCAGGATAGACCCGGTTTAGTGTGAAACGGGTTGACCCGACCCGTATTGAGTGTGAGCATGTGGCGCGCGCGTGTAAACTTCTGCCGGCACGTGGGAGCGCGTGAGGCTCCTGTCGGCGCGTGGCCGCTTCTGGGCGGCGTGTGGGGGCACGTGACTGCTCCTGCCGGCGCGTGGGGGCGCGTGAAGTATTGTAAATTTTTTTTCTTTTGCTGTAAAGAATAAAAATGCATACTTGGTATATTGTTATGAGTCTAATTTTGTTATGGAACCATAAACACGTGTATTATTTATCAAATATAGTCAACCTTTATTTGATAAATAAATAGTTTTTTTTGTATTTGTTATAGAAAAATGTTACGTTATAGACGTGCAATGGTTGCTAGAACACCCGCTCAAAGGGAAAGGGTTATGAACATGATTAGAACTCTACAAACTCACACATTGATTTTAAGAGACACAGAGGATGAGTTGGTGCAACTCGTAAATCATTTCATTCATGTGAATGAAAAGATTCAGGAAATTGTCTGGATAGGGGGATTAAAGGAAGATGAGTCGAAATTCCAAGTTCTAAGAGAGACTCTTGGTTACCCTAATCTCGGTGGTCTCCTTGATATGGTTTGGACCAAGCTGAAAATTCATAACTTTAAATATGACAATAAAAATTATAGACGTTTGGTCAACAACTATATCAAGAGTACATAGATTGGGGTGCAAAAAAGACAGTTGGGGCATCTATAGGAGTCTCCACTCGTAAAGGACATCACAAGAAACTGGGAGTTCCCTCACCTAGGGTTAATTACAAGTTGATAAAGCCTTAGGATAAGAATTATCAAATCCTTCCCAGTTTTAGGAATGGCTGTACACTTAATTTTTTTTTGTTGTTTTGGAATTTGTTTGTTTTAATTTATTACAAGTTGAATCTATTTACATAATGAAATTAATTTTGTTTATTAAAATTTAAATTTTTATGTGAATGATGTTGATTTATATTTAATAATTGTGTCTAAATATTTTTTGAATTGCAATTAATATCTATGATAATTGGAAATTGGAAATTTGGATGATGATTGTGGCATTGTTACTTTTGATTCCAAATCTAATATACAATTATTATTGGTATAATTAATTAAATGAACATGTATGTTTCGAGCATTGAATAACATGCATTATCAACGTGTAATTTTGTTTAGAAATGGCATCTGCATCTAAGAACATTGTTGCTGAACTTAACAAAGGAGAAAAATTTAACGGCGACAATTATGAGATATGGAGCATGAAAATCCAATATGTTTTGGAAGAACAAGAGGTTCTTGAAGCTCTTACTACAACCGGAAGAGCCTGAAGAGGGGTCACGGCTCAACATAGACGAGACGTGCCGCTTGTGACATATGGAAGAAGAAGAATTCACTGCTCGCATTACTTTGTTGAGCAGCATGGACAATGATCTCATGAAGAAGTACGGGATTATGAAATAGCAAAGGACATGTGGTCCGCACTTGCTACAAGTTTGGCGGTAGTCCATTACCAAACTCTGGTCACTCACTATCAAGTTTGACACATATAAGAAAAAGCCTGAACATACTATGAGAGTACATTTACGGCATTTGTCAAACATGATAAGTGAGTTAAGAGATGCAGGTCATGTCCTAACAGATGAACAACAGGTTCAAGCGTCTAGATCAATTGCCTCAAAATTGGGAACATATGAAAATACACCTTATCCACAATGAGGGCATCAAAAATTTAGAAGATGCCATACGCCATTTGGAACTGAGAAGAAGCCTTAATGCGAGTAAGGCAAATACTGATGTGTATATGGTTGGTTCCAGTTCACATGGTGGGAAGGGATTTAAACGTAAATTCCAAGGTGGATCCCAAAGAAAAGTCAATACTGAAAAGGCTCAAGGGAAGAGAGAAAGTTTTCAAACACGGAAAAGGAAAGCATCCTGCTAGGAAGAGGAATATGGCAAAGGTGAAATGCTATAATTGTGGTAACAAGGGACATTTTGCTCGCGATGTAGTGAGCGAAGAAGGTAAATTACTTGTTGCACAAGAAGTTATATAATGTTTCCAGTTCTGTTTTTCAACTGATCTCATCCTTTGTGGACTGTAGATTCAGCAGCAACAGACCACATAGCTAAAGACAGGAGTGCTTCATGGAATTTCGACGAATACCACGGGAAACAAAATGGATATATGTAGGTAACAATTCAAAAGTGGAAGTTAAAGGGATCGGCACATGCAAATTGATCATGCATGGAGGTCGAATCCTATACCTACATGACGTGTTATAGCACCCGATATTCTCGAAATTTGATTTCTGTGTTAGAACTTGTTAAACTTGGTTTTAATTTAAATTTTTCCAGTATTGGTGTCCATTATTTTTGGACCAAAACACTATGGTTGTGGTTATTTTTTCGATGGTTTTATAGTACTTGATGTTACTTATAATAATCGTAATGTTTGTTTTTCCTTATACATCTTCTAATAATGATGATGTGATGTATGGCATGCAAGGCTTGGCCATATTGGCCAACAACGAATGAATATACTAGAAAGAGAGGCTTGTTAGGATCCTTAACAAAAGTAGACTTGACTACTTGTGACATTGCCTACCTGGAAAAACAGAAGAAAACCATTGGAAAAGTGATAAGAGCTGAAGTTCCATTGCAACTAATTCATTCTGACATATGTGGTCCAATGAATGTGAGGGCTAGACATGGGGCTGTTTATTTCATCACATTTATAGATGTTCACTCGATATGGTTATGTTTTTGATTTCTCAAAAATCAGAAGCTTTAGAATGCTTTCAGAAGTTTAAAACTAGTTGAGAATC